TACATGTTTTCTCGGATGTATAATGTCTATGTGTGTACGATATTGTTTACGCTTCGCGAATCCCCGCCAGCCCATTTAGAGTCCCTCCTCACGAGAGCTGACGGGAAATGGAAAGCAGAGACGCATAAAGTGAAACACAGTGGTCAAAGAGAGGAGGGGGAGGATCGCGTTGAGCCATGCTAGAGGTTATCTTGGAGCATCGGAGGCCTTCTTGGAGCTATGGTTTTTTGTCAGGCGTCGTGGGTCATCTTGGGGCTCTTTTGGGGCATCTTGGGGGACGGGGTAGGGGGAGGGGTGAACCTCTTCCCGAAGGGGAAGAAGGGGTTTTGGAAGAGGAAAGAAAGTTATGGTTAGACCGCCTGTCGCCCAGAGGTCTGGCGGGATGTTCAGGACTGTCGTGTCCCACAGCTTGTTTGGGGAAGCTGGCCCCAAAACGGCCCTGCCATTCCGTGACCCACTGAGGTCCCGAACCGGGCATGCTCGCGTCGTGCATCGCTGCGGCGGGAAGTGTCTGGCCAGTGTTGTCCTTTGGGGGCTCGCCGGGCCCTGCGACTGCGGAACAGTAGCTCGGCATCTTGGGATTTCGAGGTCACCGCGCGGTCCATCACCACACGGTTCTGGGACCCTCGATCTTCTTGCAGTAGAGGAACGAAACAGCACAGGCCTAGGCACAGACTTGCGGAGACAGTTGCGGACCTCAGATATGTTTTGTACGTTCTGTTTTTTCCCACATTTTTTTTTGATGGTTTTCTTCCCGGCCGCGTCGCACCCGCTAGGCTCACTTACCTCACCTCCTCCTCCTCCTCCGTCTCTGTCTCTCACACAGCACAGCGCACCACAGCGCAGCAGAGCACAGCACAGCACAGGTCAGCACAGCACAGCACACAGCACATTGACACACAGCACGTACACGGCACAGCACAGGACAGCACTGCTCAGCACAGATCAGCTCAGCTCAGCACAGCACGGGACAGCACAGCTCATCTCAGCACAGCTCAGCACAGCACTGCACAGCACACCGCAGCACAGCACCTCTGGACACCATAGGGGTTGCGCAGCAGGTGGTCTCTAAGCGCGGCTGGTATCCACGACACTGTCGCAAAGCCTAGCAGGCGTGGCGCTATCTGGACACCATAGGGGTTGCGCAGCAGGTGGTCTCTCACCGAGGCCGCTATGCGCGCCTCTCGTCCAGGCACAGCAGGCGTGGCGCTCTCTCGACACCAGAGGGGTTCGCAGGGGGTGGTCTCTCACCGCGGCCGCTATGCGCGCCTCTCGTCCAGTGCTTGGCAGGCGTGGCACTCTCTCGACACCAGAGGGGGTGCGCAAGGGGTGGTCTCTCACGGCGGCCGCTATGCGCGCCTCTCGTCCAGGGCATAGCAGGCGTGGCAGTCGCTCGAACCAAGAGGGAGCGCGCAGGTGGTGGATATTCTCAGAGTGTAGTGCGAACGGCATTTTCAGGAGGACACAATGGTGCACAAGCGTGGGGGTGGCGCTATCTTCGTCATCATCATCATCATCCGCGTCATCATCATCATCATCATCATCATCATCATCACCATCAAGAGCCATCCTGGCTCATGCCGGTTCCTGCAGCTCGATAGGTGAAGGCTGGCGACCGCCAGCGATTTTCCGTCAAAGGGAAGTTCCTTGTTGTGGCGCCCGAATGCGCTATCACCGCGATGCCGCCTTCGTGCGAACATCTCAAGAACACAATGTTGGAGATAGGTGCCGAGGTGAACCTAGATGGTTTGCGCGCGTATGCTGTCAGGTGTGGGAACGTTTTGGTAACCAGCGCATTTCATGTTTACCAGCGCCAGCTTCTCAATTGGTGGCCTGGGACGCTCCTCGCCAGGTGCAACAATTTGCCGCGTCAGCGAGGCGACGACGATGCAAGGAGGCAGTGTTTGGTCAGGTACTTGCACTTTCTCGGCGCCGTAGGGGGTGCGCAAGGAATGGCCACCAACATTCTCACATGCTTCACGTCAACGATCATCACTCCAGCCATCATATGAGTACGTGGTGGTTCTCAGTAACGTAGTTGTTCGCTTCTCTCCCTCGTTCGGCATCGCCCAGACATGCGTTTGCCGCATCTGTGCGTCGGTCCCACCCCAGGGGCTACGCGCGCCCAGGAACCTCGCGTCGCATGCTCGGTGGCGAGCGCGCTCCGACCGTACCGCCAGGGTGGCGATACATTCGTGCGATATGATTGTGCTGTCTCATCGGGTCTGACGTGCGCCTCCACGCGATGCGCGCAGCACGGGTGTGTCGTTTTGCGCCCCACTCGCCCTCGTCGCCGCTTCTCCTCTCTCGAAGGAGGACTCGCGGCGGGGGCGCGCGCGACTCCCCGAGTGAGGACCCATCTCGGCTGCGCGCAGAGGAGGGGCGCCCTTCGAAGAGGGCGGAGGGTTCTCATGTTCCAGCTTGCTTTAGCCTTGCCCACCATCAAGAATTTGAACACCGGGGAAATGCCGAAACTGGAGCGTTTTCGCGTGTCGGGCCTTGGGAGGCGATGGTTGCTCGTTCGACATTGTTTTGTCAGTTTTCGGCGCGCCCGAATTTTTTTGTGGGATGTGGTCCTGAAGGGATACTGGAGCAACATAAGTGGAGGGATTCCTCTTCCCCCGCGGTGCCGCGCATCGCTGCGCCCCTCGTCGCCGCTGAGGGCGGCCCCCCAGAAAAAAAAAAAAAAAAAAAAAAAGGTCTGCTGGTGTTATGCCTTGGCCAGCTCTTGGTTCGGGCGAGGAGGAGGAAGGCAGGGTGCGTCAGAGGAGGAAGTGTCACCGATACCGCCGTCCGTCCCGGAGAGCCCCCGTCGCCACCGTTGTGCTTTCCCCCGGGGGAAAAGGATGAGAAAAGGGAAAACACAAACCCTTGGGATTTTTTTGGGGCCTCCTGGGGGTAACCTTGGAGCCTCTTGGGTGCCCCGTGGGCATCTAAGAAGCCGATTGGCCTTCGGAGGCCGTCTCGAGGGGCCTCCTAAGGCCGTCGTGGGGCCGCCTGTGGGCGTTTTGGGATCGTCTTGGTGCCGTCGTGAGGGCTTTGTGGGACGTTTTGGGGCCACGTTGGCCCATCTTGAGGCCTGCTCGGGAGCTTTTCGGGCTGCATTGGAACCATCTGGATGTCCTGTTGGGCCTTCTTGGGACGTCAGAGCACCGGAGAGGCCTGAACGCTAACATCTCCCAAGGATGCTCGATGATGTTGGCATTTTCGGGCTCTTCCGGAGGGTATCTTAGATCCCTCCTCGGGCGGTTTGGGGGTTTTCTGGACCGCCTTGAGGCCTTGAGGCCATGTTGGGCCGCCCTGGGTGCATCTTGGGGGAACGTGGAGGCCTCTCGGACATGGGACGCTTCTGGTCATCGTGGAGGCAATTTTGGAGCCATCTCGGGGCCACCTTGAAGCTGACAGTCCTGGCCTGAAATTGTTTTTTTTCTTGTGGTCGCTGGCAGGGCCGTCTGAGACCTCATTGGGAGCCTTCTTGGAAGGGCTAACGCAAGTAAGAAGACTAGCGCTCCAAGCACCGCTGTGACAAGCACAGGGCGGCGGATCAATCGCCTTCAGCCATCATGCCACCGTGTCTGGGCCGCGGACATCTTAGATGTCCCTTGGGGGCTCTTTGGGGGCCTTTCGAAGGCCTTCTGGGAGCCTACTGGTGGCTTTCAATGGGCCTCTGGGAGCCTCTTCGGGGCGTGTTTGTTGGCTGTTTCTTGGGCCTCTTGGGGTGGGAGGGGCGCAGTGGCAGTCTGAGTTCCCCTCTCGGGCCCCGCTTTGGGGTATCGTATGGGCCTGGGGTTTCTTTGGAGGCCTCTTGGGCCCCTCTTCGGACGCTCGTCAGACCGAATGCGCCAGGCCCCGACGGCCTCCCAAGACAGCCAGCGAAGCCTGCAAGAGAACCCCAGCACGGTCCCCTCGCAGCTGCACTGGGGACGTGCTGGGACGTCGAGCTCCGCGGCCAGGGAGGAGGAGGAGGAGGAGGAGGAGGAGGAGGAGGAGGAGGAGGAGGAGGAGGAGGAGGAGGATTCCCAGGATCGTCCGAGAGCGCCGAGGGCCTTAGGCCATTCGAAGAGCACCTGCAGTGAGTTCGGAGGAGGGGGCAATGGCGGCCCCCGCCCTTGCGCGTTTCGTTCTCTCCGGGGCTTCTTGAGGCTTCTTGCCCCAAACGTGGTGGTGAGAACTACCGGTGGTGAGTTTTGGGCGATTTGGGTAATGGTTCTCGAGCGCTGGCTGGCCCAGGAAACGCAAAACCTCGTGGCGATCGCGTGTCCCCAAACCCGGTGGTGACCCAGAATTTTTTTGGGGGGGAATCGGGGTCACCACCGGGTGTCTCACCACCTGGTTTGGAGACCACCAATGCAGACACGGCTGGACCCGTCTCGAACAACGAGTCAGGATTGACCCTGGGAGGAGTGCAGAGACTGGTTTTTTGAACGGCTCGGGTTCAGGTGGGAGAGCCGCCGTTGACTCAGTTGGCCCTTTCACGATAAGAGCATGTGCAATGATCAATGCGGAGGATTCAAAGGGGCTCGAGCACACTCTACTCGGTTCCTCGCGGCACCGTGGCGGATGATGATAATGATGATAATCATAATGGTGATAATGATAATGTTGATGCTGATGCTGATGCTGATGCTGATGATGATGACGAGGATGATGATGATGCGGGTGATGATGATGATGACGATGCTGCTGATGATGATGATGATGATGATGATGATGATGATGATGATGATGATGCTGATCATGATGATGATGATCATGATGCTGATGCTGATGATGATGATGATGATGATGCTGATGATGCTGATGATGCTGATGATGATGATAATCAGGAGGAGGAGGAGGAGGAGGAGGAGGAGAAGGAAGAGGAGGACAAAAGACGGCACGGAAAGGTTTGGGCCGTGTTGCGGCTCCCCTCCCCTGCCCTCTGCCTCTCCCCTCCGACTTCTCCCCCTTCCCCTCCCCCCTCTCCCTCTCTCTCGACCTCCCCCTCCAGCTCCGCTGAGGTGATGCTGTTTATTTATGGATTGCTCATTCTCTTCCAGCTGAAGACGCACAGCCATCTCCTGGAGGGCATGGAGGATCTCCCCCCCGCCCCCGTCTTTGCCTCCCGCCCCCCTCCCCGTTCCAGTTCCCTCCCCTTTCCCCTGCCCTTCCTCTAGTTGCCTCAGCCGCCCTCCCCTCCCTCTGTCCCCCCCCCCTCTGGTTTGGTGGACCCCAAACGTGGTGGTGAGAACACCCGGTGGTGAGTTTTGGGCGATTTGGGTAATGGTTTTCGAGCGCTGGCTGGCCCAGGAAACGCAAAACCTCGTGGCGACCGCGTGTCCCCAAACCCGGTGGCGACCCAGAATTATTTCTTTGGGGAATCGGGGTCACCACCGGGTGTCTCACCACCTGGTTTGGAGACCACCAACTGGTCCCTGCTCCCCCTCCCCCTCTCCTCCCGCTCCCCGTCAACCCCGCGCCCTGCACCCCGCCTTCTCCACCGTCCGTCCAGTCCCGTTTCCCGCTCCGGCATCCCCTCCTCGATCCCCTCCGCTGCCAAGCACTCCTTCGATGCTCGTTCTGGGGACCTTCCTGTGGCCCACCTAACGGATATGTTCGACCCCAGTTCGACTCAAGTTCGACTCAAGTTCGACTCAAGTTCGACCCAGGTTCGACTCAGGTTCGACTCAGGTTCGACTCAGGGTCGACCCAAATCGACTGACGTTCGACGCAGCTTCGACGCACGAGTGGGGCGAGTGGCTCCAGGAAGGTCCCCAGAACGAGCATCCAGCACTCCTCGCTCGCGCCGATAGGAATGAGAAAGCCTCGGAATCGCTCGGACGTGTGCGTTTTTTTCCTCGGCGAGGACCCTCGAGGAGCAGCATCCTGGATCACTTGGCGGAAAAAGAGCCGCGCACGAAGCCGAGAGAAGCACAGGGAGTGGACGTCCGAGCGATGGCGAGAAGCGCACCCGTCCGCGGCGGGACCGTCGCCCCAGGACCGTGGTGGCCAGCACGACGTGCACAGAGCCTTCGGCAGCATCTACAGCAGACCGTTGCCGAGCCGCGCCGCGGCGACTGTCGCGACGCTCCCGAGCGCCACGTCAGCAGCCAGACATAATGAATCTTCGATTCCCCCGAAAATAAAGGGAACCTATAGGAAGTGGGGGGGGGAAGACAGAAACCCAGAAGCATTTGGGAAAATATCTGGCATCTGTTTCTTTGTGTGTACTTAGTTGTGTCCTGGGGCCCCTTCATCTACGAAGTGGAACCGCCCCTCTGACCACCAAGACATAAGCAACCAGCCACTGACTATGGCGCGGCCCATGCCTCAACCCACTGCGACCCTCCCTCCGAGCGGCCGCCGACCTCCACAAGGCAGCAGCCACGGGAGCCACCGGGTCCGTGCCGCCGCCCCTCCCTCCTGCCGCAGCTCCGTGCGAGTCTCCTTCCGAGCGTCCGCCGACTGCCGCTGGCGACCGCCGGAATGGTTGCCAGGCCTCTTTCAGTCCGTTGCTTCACGTACGGCGCCTGGCTGTAGTTGTAGGTGACAGGCTGCCACTGGCCTGGACACCCTTGACCGAGGGCCGAGAACCGTAGTGGAACGTGGGGAAGAAACCGGCCAAGCATCGCCTCAGGAGGGGGAGGAGGAGGAGGAGGAGGAGGAGGAACTGTCGCCGTATTTCGGCTGGACTGTCGCGGGTTCGGTGCTTCGCGCACCGCCTCCGGGACATGTTGTTTTCGGCACCTCCGGCCATGGAGGCTGCACGTCACGTCCTCATTGGCACAGGGCCCAGACGAGCTGACGAGCGGGATCGAGGGGGGGAACTTCGTTACGTGACGTGCTCTACGGAGTCGAGTCGGTCTACGGTGTCCACCAGGTTTGAAGGATTCACATCCGTCCTCCCCTGGCGGACGGCCCGGGGAAACGCGTGCTTGCTGCGTTGGGGAGGGGGCCTAAAGATAGCGTTGCGAGCATGTGGACAGCGACCAACATGGGGCGGGAAGCTGCGCTCAGTGGGGGCACAGCTTTTGCTTCGCGTGCGGTGCTGCGTGCGTACCTCTTGCCCCGCTTCCTTGGTTTGGATGGCGCTGCGAGTGATGTTGTGCTTTCCTACAGGGGGCTGGTCGCAGGCTGATCCACGGCCACCTGCGAGGTGACAGGCCTCATGCTGCCAGGAGTTCAGGTGAGCGACGGAACAAAAGGTCGTTTGCGCCGACATTGGCGCGCAAGCTGCCCGCATCAGCTCGCGCGTAAGTGCCCTCGCTTCCGATTTAGCGTGTCGCGCTGGCGGCCCGCGTAAGCCGCCGCGTAAGGTCGCTACGGCATCTCACGTAAGACCCCTTTCTGATCGCCGTCCAGGTTAGTACTGGCACTCCCCGACTGTGATCTTGGGATTCTCATCGACGATCCCAGCTTGACATCACCAGTGAGACTTTGGAGAGGTGCATTGAGAAGATATCAGGTTCATATCGAAGATACATTTCTTTTCAGAATGGCCAGAGTAGAGCCCTGCAGTTGCCAGGGTCGATGAAGGGCGGACGTGATGTCAGGTGTTTCGCGTTCGCACCCAGACTGCCCATCTCCCTTTTCCCCCGCCCCGTCTCTCGTCTTCTCCCTTTCACCTCCTCTTCCCCAGCGCTTCCCGTCCCCCGGCTTTTCCCCCGTCCACTCCCTTAGTAAGAACGGTTTTTTGAAGGCAGATCTGCTTTCAAAAAGTTGGTCTACTCTGTAAGAACAGTTTTTTGAAGGCAGATCTGCCTTCAAAAAACCGTTCTTACAGAGTAGACCAGTCTTTCCTTCGCATTCTCGAAGCCGTCACCCCCCCCACTCGCCCCCGAGGATGGCGAGGACGAGCCGGGCGTGCTCGGCCTGTGGGGCGGCGTGCTCTGGCTCGCGTTGATACAATGAGACCTGTCGGCAGCCGCCGCTCGGCACCTGGCTTCTTCCTCCCCCGCTTGCCCTTCTTCTCCGGGAGGAGGTGGAGGAGGAGGAGGAGGAGGAGGAGGAGGAGGAGGAGGAGGAGGCGCGCGCCTGCGGCTCTGCCCCCCCCCCGGGCGAGAGAGCAAGGGCCGAGGCCGCGGGCCTTGGCCAGCGTCAGCCCAACATACTCATACTATGTGAGCGTCGCCCCCCAGTGGGGCGACGCGCGCACCGAGAAATCTGATAGTGTATGCGTCGTGGCAGGCACTGTTCTGGCCACACCGCCCAGGGAACGGCATGCTACAATATGGGTATGCTATATGTCCGCGTCGGACGCGCGCCTCCAAGGAGGACGTGGTTCCCCCGGCGCCTGAGCGTCCGAAGTCCACATCCCTGAGCGGCGAGGGGCCCGCAGGAGCCGCCAGCTGCCCCGAGTTTTTCCCCGTGTGCGCGCCCACCACCTCCCGCCAGGGACGTAGATTTTTAGCGCTCTGGCGCTGGGAGGGCGAGGTCGAGGTCCCTGGGCGGTTGCGCGCCCTGCGGCCTCGGCCGCGCACGACACTGCCGAGGGAGATTTCGGACGATCCAGCGCCGAGGAAGGCCCAGCTCGCCCTGCGGCCTCTGCCGGGCCCCCAGCGGTCCCGAGCCATCCTGGCACCTTGCCTGGGTTGTGGGTCAGAGTCCTGCCTGGGCCCCCAGCGGTTCCTCAGGCGTGCTGGGTTGTTGTTGTGTACACAAAGTCTGCTGCTGCGGTGTGCACGGGCGTCGTGGTGTACACAGGCATTGTGGTGCAGCAGAAGCATGCTGGACGATGCATCCGTGCATCCGTACAGCGACACGTTGCACGTGCAGCGAGTACGTCCGTACAGCGTGCATCCGTGCACCGATATATTTCTGACACCCCGTGCAATTTGAAGGAAATTTTAGTGCAACGACCTGTCGGGTCAAGTCTTTGTTTGTGCGACGTCTGGCCATTTCACTTCTTTATCCATCTATCCTGCTATCCTTTCGGCTCGTGTATTGGACAGAATTCGCGCCTATGTTCATACGGGCGCATGGACACAAGAAACCCTTTTTGCCCCTTATCGTCCTATACCTACTGATCATACGGTAGGTTCGATTGTAACCTTCGTTCGCAGGTTATCCGCCTATTCCATTACTCTCTCCCTTGCAACACACCGCGCTGCCTTTTATCGTCGCGCATGGCGCTGCTGGCCCCGGGGAACCAGTGACTCTATGTTTGATGATTATTCGACGGTGCGTGGGCGTCGCGACGACACGGAGAGGGCTGTGGGACAGGGGGTGGTACCGCACCCCTTCCCCCCCCCCACCAAGAGAAGGTAGCGCCGATGCACGCCCCGAAGCAACGCTTCGACGCGCGCAGCAGGTCGACATGTATTTTTCCAGTCTTCCGAGCTGGCGCAATCTTACACGCCAGGGTTTGGACCTAGTTTTCAGTTGACCCGTCACGCACCTGCAGCCAACATTAGTTCAGAACCGTCGCCGGTGGAAACACCCGCGCCTTCTCCTCCAACGTTGGCCAGTGGGAACACAAGCGCTGACGCGAACGAGACGACTCCTCCGAGCGCTTTCGCGCGACGCCGTTGCTGGGGCTCCGAACGTCCTTTGAGCCCCACATCGGCCCCTGTGTCTGAGCACGCGCGAGCCATTGAGGATCGCATTGGAACGACCTCGCAGCGAAGAGCCCCCGAACGATATCGCCTCCAGTTTCAGAGCGGGGACATTAGCCGCAGCCCCTCCCAGAGGCGCTTGCGACAGGGTACCCTTCGGCGCGACATCGCGCCGCGCGCATCGCCCTCCGCCAGTGATTGGGCAGAGCCCATAGATTGGGTTGAAATTTCCACGACCCAGCAGTTGTCGGGTTTTGCTGCGCAGGCAGCAACCTTGAGGCAAGATATCATCGCGCTTCGTGGTCACGCTGACGTGGCCGCTGCCAACGTGCGCTCCCGAATTATAACGACCACGCCCGAGTTGCACGGCAAGCTTTGCAACGTCGAGTTGGCTGTTGCTCAACGTTTTGGTGCTTCGGAGGGACGCGCGCCAGCGCTTGAGAGCCGAGTCTCCACGGTGGAGCAGGAGTTGCCTGATTTCCAGACTGCTGAGGGCGCTCTGCACGGGCCCAGGCTGGCCCGCTGGGAACCCCGACTTTGGTCGACGATTTCGCCCTCCCCGCCGCCGAGATGGCCGAGGCATGGGCTGCGGCGGACAACGCGCAGTTGCGATTCACCCAGCTCCCCGACGAAAGAGACGCTGAGAAGGCACGGGCCGAGGCGCTCCTCGCCCGTTTAGAACGCGAGCGCGAGGCGCGCAACCAACGAACCCAAGACTTGCACCAGAGAGCCCACGACGCCAACGACGAGGTGCATGGTCTCCGACAGAGCGCGGCGAAGTTGCAGAACGACCTTACGACCACCTAAGCGGCCTTGACGGCCCGCGTGAGCGACGCTCAGATCCACTCCACCTCGCAGCCCCCGGAGCCCGCCACCGACGGCGCCCCTGCCCTCTCCGGTGGTAGCACTTGCGCTGGACAGTCGCGATTCTGTTCACTTAACATGGTAATGACGCGTCACTCAGTTACACAGGTGACAATAGCTGGCCAGGGGCAACATCGGCAGCGCATCCAGGCGCCCTGCCAAGGCGTACGCCTTACTTGATGTTGCCGAACGCCCAGGTATTACATTTAAGGACTTCTATGCCAGCGGCGATTTCGAGAGCATCCACAGCAGGTTCGCCGTCGGACTTATGGCTTTTCTTACTACTGAACGGCGATGCCGCGTGAAGAGCCTGGAAGCGCAGGACCACAAAGCCGGCCGCGTGCTGAAAGGCAGACAGATCTATCGGGTCATCCTACAATCCTATAAGGTTGCGGAAGTCGACGACGCCACGCGCGATTTCGAACGTCCCCAGCTCATTCGCATGTGAGACGACGTCATCAATTCGTTTATTGTGGACTGGGACAGTCTACTCTTGGAGCCCTGACTCACCGGACGCGCAGGTATTCGCGTCATCGTTCGGAGCCCAGATCCGCCGACATCCAGGGGTCAATCGAGACACGCGCGACTACGACAATATGAGGATAGGCGACCCCAATCTCGCGCGCAGTTGGCTACGGGAACGCTTTTTGGCCAACCTCGAGATGCGCCGGCTCGAACGTTTCGGGCGCGACCTCAAGAGCGAGGCGGCCCGTCGCACTTTGGCCGCGCGCGCGGCATTCCAGAGAGGCCGTCGCGCGCGCGGAGAACGGCGCAAACTACTACGCACTGGCTCTGGCAACCGCTCTACGCCACGACCGCCTCGACGCGCTTCGCGGGCCAGCAGGGGCGCCCGCGAGGAGCGACCCCCCGCGGGGCGACGCCCGCATCGCCCGCCCAACGATGGAGGCGCGAAGAACTTCTACCTCTCTCTCGCCAAACACGGCGCCTGCCGTCGACGAGATCGACGCGGGTGGTCGCGCGTTGCGAGATGCGGCATCTTTGCCGACCCAGGCAATCATTGCGAGCAGGGCGACAGTTGCCGCTTCGCCAACATTGCACCTGGCACCCGGGCTCCCGAGAGGAGCCCCAGTCGGATTCGCAGTCAGGACAGCCGCCGCCAGACGCCGTCGCCTGGACGTGCGGGGGGGGCGATGCCCCCCGCGCGGGGGGCGTCGGGGCTTCAGAAGTCGGGGGCGGTTCACGCTGGCCGCGTCGCGGATCGCCGCGCCCAGGGCGCGGGGGGCGACGGGGCCCGCGAAGCCCGGGGGGCCGCAGATGGCCCCCGCAGATGGCGCCCGCGACGCCAGCTTGCGGCAGAGAGATGGCGCTATGACTTTACCACCCCGACAAGACGCGCGATGGCGCCCGCCATCTCATCCGACGCAGGCCCAGCGTCGGCGGCAACGTCCGCGACCGAGTCTCCATCGCCGACGCGGTCAACAGCTTCGTCGTCACGGACGTGGATCCTGGGCAGCGGCCCCGCCAGCGACATCCAGGACAAGGCCGACCTTGCACGGCGGGAAACCGCTGGCGCGCACACTGGGCGCGAGAGTATTGAAAACAGCCAGCGGCGACGCGATCGTCAACGCGCGCGTATAGTTGCAGCTCCAACGCGCTGGGCGGCTGCATTTCGGTGCTTGCAGTGGGGCCTTCGGTGTAAGACCACGGCTTCCGACCAATCTGGGATTCGCGGTTGGTTTATTTTTACAAGACCCACAGGGCCCCGTGGTGCAGGGTTGCCGTGAGCAACCGCATCCCTGAACACGACGTCAAGAACCTCGAATGGATTTCGCCGCCTCAGTTGTTCGCCGCGCCGCGAGCGCCAGGCCGCGCGCGACGCTCGCAGGGGGGCGGGCGTGCCGATCAGTGCCCGTGCATGTGTCGGTGCTGCAAGAACAGAGAGAACTTGCGACTCCAATACTTGTTGGTGGTCGACCACGACCGCATCATGATCGTTGTCCACGTCGACGAGTTCGAGTCTCTTGTTGCGGAGCTATCGCGTCACATCGGGACTGCACATCCCGCAGGTACTGGGGCACTTCCCCGGCAGATCTGGCTGACCCCGCGGATGCGGACATGGCGCCGGAGGGCGCGCAACGCGCGACGAGACGCCAGCAGTCCGACCGCGGCCGCCCATCGACTCCATGCATTACCTCACCCGCAGTCCGAAGCACCCTGGCTTTGAAGTATGCACACGCGCCCTGGCGCAGCATGCGCCACGCAGGCGCAAGCGCAAACCCAGCCCGCCACCGCAGCCCACTCAAGGACGCAAGGATACGCTCAATACAGGGCATTCGTACCCGAGCGCTTCGGCGAGGCCCTGACCGCCGGCCACGTCTCCCTTGCTGCAGATGATGTTGCCGATAAGTTGGGTGGCCAGTACTCCTTGGTTGTATTAGACAAGCGCGCAGGCACCATCGTGGCTTACCTGGCGAGGAACAGGGGCGGCGATACCACCGAGGCATCCTCGTCAGAGTTTCTCGCCGCAAATGGCGAGGTGAAGCGCATGTGCACCGACGGCTCCGGCGTGCTACGCATGGCGCGTCGGCTCTTGGATCGTCGGCGCGATGCTCGCGTGCCACGTCGGCCACAAACCAGTGGAATGGCCGAACGCACAGTCAAGTCAGATATTCTGGGCATCCGCGCGGTGCTTCACACCTCTGGATCGGGGCATGAATGGTGGGGCGAGGCTATGCAAGCCTGGCGTCGGCCGCACCTTCATTGCCAAACCCTGTCGCGGAGTTGCAGCGACGTGGGGGGAACGGCAGGGCCACGCATCGCGCGATGTCAAATTTGGAGGATCCTTCAGAGGACGCGTTGTTCCATTGGTGCTCGAATCTTTCGGAAATGCCCCAATCCCGACATCGACGAGTCCTCTGCCAAGTTTGAGGATGCAGCGCGCGACGGCCTCTTTGCATGGGCTGCCATCTTCACTCTGGCGGCCGCCGGTCTGGCGATTATCTCGTCGTTGGCGCGGCCACGCGCGCTGGGCGCCTCGACGGGGGGCATTGCCGCGTGCGCCGAGTCGAGAACATTGCGATCCCAGACGGCGGGTGCGTCGGAGAGTCAGTCTCAGACGACGCAACGCTACTCTACCCCTACGACGCATTCGTGCACCTCTCACTCAGCTCTTCTGCCCCGCTGACGACGCGATCGGGGCGCCTGTCTCCGTGGACAAGGTGGGCGGCGCCCGCGACTTCGAGGCCGCGTCCACACATGAGAGCGAGAAAAGTATTTCTGCGATGTTTGGGTCGGCGTGAGCGAGAACGATCGCCGTCACCTCAGCGAGCCTTGACTTATAACCATTCGCTTTCTATCAGCGGCTGGAGATCAGCCCAGACGGCAAGATGAATGCGCGGAGTCGCCAGGCACGCGTCCGGGCCACGTCTCTGGCCGACCGCATCCTGCCCGACTGCCCGGATACCATGTCCAAGAAGGGAAGACATATCGGAAATGAGCTCGGCAAAGACATTCTCCGATCGCGCGAGATGCGCGTTCGATCTGCTCTTCGTGTCTGGGCCAGGACAGACAAACAGGGCCGTCGTTTTCGCGCGAGCAGTGGTGGCGGCCCTGCGCGGAACGCATTGGAACGACGCGTTGCCGTCGACCTGCACAACAATGGGGGCGTCAAGGGCGTCGCCGAGAACGACAAACTACGCGCCGCCCTTCCCGGCGAACCACGCGACGCCACCACGGCGTTGCGCTGCCGTCCACAACTGGAGGCCACTCCCGAGAGCGCGCCCGCTCATTGGCGCTGCCAGACAACGGCGGCTCCGACTTCGGCGGCGTGATTTCGTTGCGCCGCAGTTTCAAGCTGTCGGGCGACATGCCCGCGATGCCGCGCGCACCGGGGCTGCCGCCGGGGGCGCGGGAACAAATTCGACGCGGCGCGCTGGCAACGCCCGCGTCTTGCCACCCACAATGCTACCATGAAAGAAATTGCTGTCGAACCACGCGCGCAGGGTGCCCATCGAAAGGAATGCGAGCGTTTGAAGAAGAAGCACGCGTGGTTTCTAGAGACGGTCGCGGAGCGTGCAGACGTTGAGACCAGCGCGCGCAAGACCTGCAAAACCGTTCACTTGGCCGACGCGCTGGAGTTTCACCAGCCAAACATGCAGAAGTATTCCCATAGCGGAAGTCCAAGAGCCGCGTCGTGGTTTGGGCGACAACGTGAAGGACGAGCGCGGCTCAGCCGCTGTCTTCGCCGACGCCGCCTCCATTTCTTCGCGCGTTGAGGCTTCGAATCGACGCGGCGCCTCTGCATTGTTGCCCGAAAGCGGGGGCGAGCAAAGCGACGCCCCAGGCGCCCATGCACGAGCTTTGCTTTACTGCGACGGTCGGATCGACCCTGTGGGCACATGGAATACCTCGCCCAAGTGGCGCCAGCCCGCTTCTTGGGCGAAATGAAGGATCTTGTTTGTCGACTACGTCTTGCTCACTATGGCCACCCCTTGGCGGGCGCGCGCCGAGGGCGTCGCTGTCGCGCGCGTCTGGGGCCCGTGGGATTCCGCCCCGCCCCCGGATGGGAGTGTTTTCGGACGCGCGACAAGCTGGATCTGATCTTATCCGTCTACGTCGACGACATCAAGATGGCAGTCCAATGACCAACCTGAAACCGTGGTGAAACTGGATCGTGCACAGCGGTATTGAGATCGCCCCACCTACTCCATGCGACCATTTCTTAGGCCGCAGCCAGGGCGGGCGGGATGTGCCGCATGGCGTCTTTGGCAACCGCGCGACTGCGATCCGACCCATGCTTCCGAAGCATGGCACCGAACAGCGCACATCTGCAGCCAATGTCCGTCAAATTCGACACGATATGTTTGCATTTACTGACCAGCGCATTACTCGATACTTGGAATGCGTGTCCAAGCTGCCTGGCATGCCCTGCCCGAGGCAGAAACGGTCACCCTCGCCCAGGACGCGCCCATCATCGACCATATCTCCCGCGTGGGTTGAGAAACCGACGAACGACGCTAATGACCCGCATCGCATGCGACGATTTCCCACGAGCCGACGCCCCTGGCATCGAGGACGCGTCTTTCGTTGAGCTTGACTACGCGGGCGAAAGGGTCCTCGGCCCGGGCGCGGCGGGCGTGTTGATGAACATTTTATACCGGCCAAGTTGTTGCAGGTCTGATCTCGCGCACCCCGTTTGCATGTTGGCACGGGATATCACCGAGTGTAACTACTCGTGTGACAAGCGTCTACATCGATTGGTTTGCTATTTGAAGTTCATGTGCACACATTGCTTCCGCGAGTGGACTGGTGATACTTCGGACAAGCATTCAAACGTGCTCTTCGCTGACGCCTCCTTCGCGGACTGCGTCAACTCTTCCGCAGAGTCCGAGATCGCGGCGCTTGACGCGGCTCCGCGCACCGAGGGTCTACCATTGTTATCCTCTTGGGAGGCTGCGGTTCGTGGCTCACTGCAGACGCAGGATAGTGGCGCGTCCTTGGCCGCCACGGAGAAGCGACACAAAACGCCTCCACGGAAGGCGCCGCCAACTCTGGGTCGCGGGGTGGGTCGCGGGGTGGGTCGCGAGTGGGTCGCGGGGTGGGTCGCAGGGTGGGTCTCGGGTGGGTCGCGGGCGGGTCATGGGGTGGGTCGCGGGGTGGGTCGCGGGGTGGGTCGGGGGGTGGTTCGCGGGTAGGCCGCGGGCGCGTCGCGTGGGGGCGACGACGACGACGACGACGACGACGACGACGACGACAACAGGCATAATCCACACCACGGTTCCCCAATTCAGCCACGCACCCAGGGACAATGAATGACCGCTCGGCCCCCTCACTCTGATAAATCGATCTTGCTTCGCACAAGCCGGTTCGAGCGCGGGTGCGTGCAGGATGAGCACACCAGAGACAACGTGAAGGGGGACAGACCCAGCGGGTATCACATCGCTCCATTTTCGCCCGCTCATTGCCGATAGGGGCCGGATAGCCCATCACGCCCCCAGGTGCCAGCGGTTTTGCTATCGTGGGTCTGTTGCAGATGCATCGGCGATGTATGTGAAATGCCAGGTTGATGCTTTCCCCCGGACCTGGTCTCTCAGCGATGCCTTTCAGCACAGGTGGTCGGGCTTCAGAGTGACTGAAGCACGGCGGATTACTTTTTTTATTTCTGTACTGTCGGACTACATCGTGGACGCCATAGAGGGTGCCGCGAAGGACGGGGCCTCGTTTCCAGATGCCGTGGCTTGGTTCGTTCGTTTCCTCGTGTGGTCTCGTCCTCGCTCCTCCGTGTACTCATTTTCGTGATCGTCTTCCCCACTCATATTTTCCTCGTCATCATCCGTGCTGGCCTTTTCGTCGTCGCCGTTGTTGTCGTCGTTATGTTTCTCCTGACAGTTCCATTTCGATGCCGGTGGCGTTTTCTTCGTTCTCGGTCTCGTCCCCTCCGTATTGTCCCTCTCCGTGTTCTTTCGCACGGATTTTGCCAATCGGAGGCGAAGCGTTTGAAGACGTCGAGTGGAGAAAAGCAGCAACAATAGCAGTTCGACGTGAGTGTTCAAACAACACACCCCATTCTCTAGTCACCTTGACGGTCTCCCCCCCTCCTCCTGGCCCTCGTCCTCGTCGCCCTTCTTCCCGGTCTTGTCCTCCTCCTCGTTGCTCCTCGCTCTCTCCCGACCGCTTCTGTGCCCTCCTCGACCCCGCCATCGCCATCCCCGCCCCCCCGCTGTCGCTCCTCCTCCTCTTCGCCCTCGTCCCCTCTTCCCCCTCGCGCTGTCGCGGCCACGAGGCCACTCGGGCGACACCTCATGCTAACTCTCCCCCCCTCATGGGATCCGCTTGTTCTCCTCGTCGTCCTCGCCCTCGTCGTCGTCGTCGTCGTCCTCCTCCTACTCCTCCTCCACAATTACTCAATATGAATACTACTCTCCCTCTTCCCCCGATGGCGGCCTGAAAGTAGCCGACCCCCCCCCCCCGCGTCCTGCTTTTTTACACACAGGATTCCCGGGAGTTGGGTTTTCGCTTGCATTTTTTTCAAAATGCTGCTCTCGCCGAGGCGCCGGCCTCATTTTCGGGCCCCGCTCGTTCCGAATCGTGCTCCGCTGCAGCGCTGGCCTCATTTCCGTGCTTCCGCTCGTTCCGAATCGTGCTCCCGCTGCAGCGCTGGCCTCATTTCCGCGCTTCCGCCCGTTTCGACTCGTGCTCCCGTTGCAGCGCTGGCGTCATTTCCCGTGCCATGCCACAGCACACACACACGCACACACGCACACACGCACACACGCACACACACACACACACACCAACCACCACCACCACCACCACCACCACCACCACCACCACCACCACCACCACCACCACCACCACCACCACCACCACCAGCACCAGCACCAGCACCAGCAGCAGCAGCAGCAGCACCACCACCACCACCACCACCACCACGCACACACGCACGCACGCACGCACGCACGCGCACCGCCACCCACTAGTCCGCGGATAGAGAAAATCAGCGCCATGGTAAGGGATGGGAGGGAGGGGTAGGACGTCAGATATGACGCGCGCGCACCTAGCTTGTCCTACTCCCTGTCCTCCTCCCCCTCCCCCGTGCCCCGCCCTTCTCCTCCTCCTCCTCCTCCTCCTCCTCTCCTCCTCCTTTTCCTCCTCCCCCTCCCCGCGTTGTCCTCGCCGCCCTCCTGACGACGCAGCTCTCGTCGTCGTCGCCGCTGCCGCACCCGCCCCCGCCGCCCGCGCCGCCGCCGTCGCCGTCGTCTTGCCAGAGGGGTGCCAGCCGCCTCTCCAGGGCACGGGCACGCCCCTGCTCTTCCTCGCCGGCATCCTCGTCCCGATCGTCGGCAACGCGGCGGAGCACTTCGCGGCCATCACGTTCGCCTGGCGCAACAAGATGGAGATCTCGCTGGGCGCCGCCAGCCTCACGGGGGGTCAGACGAGGCAGGAGGAGGGGGGGATGGGCACGAGGAGGAGGAGGAGGAGGAGGAGGAGCAGGATAACACGGGCAGGAGGGTGAGCGTGTCATAGCAGCAGCGCGCGATACAGTACAGAATCGGCTCTTATCTTGAACGTTTGGTTCATGAGATCTTGGGGCAGCCCTTGAGCGCACGGCCAGATGAGCCCACGTCGTCGCGTCATCGTACCGTGCAACCTCCGCTTGGGGGTCCGATCAGTCGTTTCCTAAGCAATGCGCTTCGCTCTAACCGCAGCCAGTCGCTTTTCCCTCGGATGGCGCTTTGCAGGAGTGTTCTAACATCGCAGGCCTAGAGGTTGACACCACAGCACCAAGATCGGCGGTTTGCCTCCACCGAGGAAAGACGATTCCGATCTCGGTGCCGGTGGTAGTGTTCTGGCCTCCAAGGGGACCGAACCATCACCACCAGCACCGAAAGTTCGGATCAGCTTCCTCGTGTGGAGGCACGCCCCCTGTGCTGGTGTTGGTGCCAATGTTCAGGCCTCCAACAACAGGGGCTGAAGAGCGGACCTCGGAGGAGAGAGCGTCCCGCGGGAGGAACGAGCCCGAGACCGCCCAGCCCCGAGGCGGGCCAGCGGCCGTCGCGCCTCGAGGCTGCCGCACATCGCAGGCCCAGAGGTTGACACCAACACCAATGTCGGCGGTGTTCTTCCACCGCGGGAAGAGGATCCCGATCTCGGTGATGGTGGTAGTATTCTGGCCTCGAGGGCGACCGAAACATTACCACCAACGCCGAAATCTCGGATCGTCTTCCGCCTGTGGAGGCACCCCCCTGTGTTGGTGTTGGTGCTCATTTCCAGGCCTCCAATCACAATTTTTCCAGAGTCCGCACTTGCGCCTGAATGTCATTGGGCACCAGCCTTTTTGAAGGACGATCAGTGGAGAGGAAGTTCTGAGGAAAATCCTGGAGGCCTCGCGCGGCGCGTAATAGTAGTACGATCTAGTCCACATGTCAGTTCCGTAAGCCATGGGTCGATGCTCGCGCGGCGATGCTCAGGAGTCAGTCCGACGTAAATCCAACGTAAATCCGACGTAGTCCGACGTGAACCCGACGTAAATCTGACGTAGATCTGACGTAAATCGGGTCTCAAGCTGCCGCGCGAGGCCTCCAGGATGTTCTTCATAAAGGAAGCATGGTGCCAAATAATTTCCAGATGTCTAGAACATGTCTTAAACATGAGTTAAACATATTTTGAACATGTGAAAAGCATGTTTGGAACATGTATCTTTCATTTAACATTCAATGAGAGGACTGTTAGGGTGGCCATTGTCGTGGCATCCACAATGTCACTGAGCACCAGCCTAACAACCATTCGCACGGCCAATTTTCGGGTGAGTTTGGGCGTCGTTGTCGGTGGAGGACGCTGGAACCGAAAGAGGCTCATGCAAGCACGGAGGATGTGGACGCAGCACTGCTCCTAGCACCGCGATCAGGTTTGCAACTCCCAGCTGGCTCCGCGACATCGGCGGCTGGCCTTCCACCAGATGGTTGGGCGCATCGGCGTTCGAATGCAGTCGGAAGAACCACCTACCCCGCGAGAGGTGCGCGCAGGTCTCGCGCGCTTCAGGGGCCCTCCTGCGCGGATTGCAGCGGAGGGGGGGGTGGGAGGAGGAACGGGTCGCTCCGCAAACAGTGTTCTGGCGGCGCCGCTGCCGCGCGCTTCCGCGTCCGCCGCCGTCTTCTCCTCCTCCTCCTCCTCCTCCTCCTCCTCCTCCTCATACTTGTTTCTCTAAGGATCTAGGTTGCTCGGCCGAGGTTTTTTCGCGCCGGCACCTTTCTCTATGCCGCGACCGATGGCGCAGCCCACGAGGTGCGTCGGCCGAGGTCTCGCCGCGCGGGCGCCCCTGTGGCGCAGCCTAGGGCGCAACCTACGGCGCACTCTGTGGCGCAACCATGGCGCAACCAATTGGGTGGGTCGGCCGAGGTTTCACCACGCGGGCGCCCCTGTGTCGGGGGTGGATAGACCTCCTACCCTGACACTTCGATTAAGGAACTGGCCGTTTCCGGTTCGCGAGAGGGCGTCACGGCCGTTATTTTTGCGGGTCCAGGTCCGTCGGTGTCGGTCCCAGGCCGTTTTCACTAAAGGGAGGTTTACTACAGGGAGGTTTGCCCACCGCCGATTGTGGCGCATCCTGTGGCGCAATCTGTGGCGTAACCTATGGCGCAGCCCATGGCACATCCCATAGCTTGCGCCATGTGATGAAAACCAGGCCCTCCTCCGGCCCGAACGACGGCGCGGGGAGGGTTCCAGATGGCCTCAAGAGAGCTCCAAGAGGGGCCGAAAATGCTCCCCAAAGAGGCCGCAACGGCCCCAACGAAACCACGCCAGGAGCCCAACGGTACCATACCAAGAGCCCTTGGTAAGATCTCGTCCGGGGCCATAGTGGGAGGCCTTTTGGGGCCCTCTTGAGCCTTCTCGGAGCCTTCTCCTGGCCCCCAACACGGCCCGGGAGGGCCCCGCACAGCCCCGCGAGAGCTTCAAGGAGGGCTCATGAGTGCCCCCGAGAAGGGCCCACAAGGGCTGCAAGCGATATCACACCGAGAGCCCAACGATGTCATGCCAAGAACCCCTGGCATGATCTCGTTGGGAGCTGCTTTCGAGGCCCTCCTGGGCCTTCTGAGGGCCAGCCTCGGGCATGCAGGGCTGCAGGCAGACCCAGGAGAGCTCGAGTGAGGCCCACAAAGGGCACCCAGCAGGGGCCCCGAAGGGCCCCGACCAATAGCATACCAAGAGCCCTGGGTGTGATCTCGGCGCGGGTCCCCTCGAGGCCCTCGCGGGCCTTCGCGGGCCTTCCTCCGTCGGCCACGGAGGCGGCCCAGGAGGCCCCGCGAGAGCTCCAGGACGGCGCGAGGCCCCTGTCCGCTGGGCATTACTGTCCTCCTGCTCCTCCTCCTCCTCCTCCTCCTCCTCCAGTAAATTGTTACATGCATCTCTCGGGGCCTCCTGTAGATCCTCAAGGCCCCGCACGTATGTTGCACGTGAGCCACGCCGTACCGGCATTGTGGCTCAAGACGCGTCATAGCTAGAGTATTGTACTTAACATTGTACGGAAAGCTCTTCATTGCATCGCCGGCTGCCGCCGCTGTCATCACGGGAGAGGGGCTCTATCACGTGCCACTGCACGTGGTAGCGGAGCAGCATTGCTCCCCTCCCGCCGCCAGGCGACGGCAGTACCATTGCGAGCACGTGACCTCCGACACCGAGATTGCGGGCACTGGCCTCGACAGTTTCACGTGCGAGGACACGTTCTCCGACAGTCAATTCAGGAATTCCTATTTTGATTTTGGGATCAGCTATCGACGCAGTGTTCGGCGGAAAAGGCGCAGGACATCAGCAACAACCCCCGGTACAGCATGGCGGACCTCAGCGGTTCATTCCTGGACAGAATCCTCAACCAGATATTGCGAACACAAAGACACCTCCTTCATGGTCGCCAGAGCTGGAGACGAGTTATCCGCTGTGGGTCTACGCCCAGGGCTTGATGTTGTGGAGCGCAGCCACCGAGATCCCAGTCGCGCGTCAAGGACCAGCGGCTGTTCTTCAACTCGGAGGCATGGCAAGAGTCCTGGGCAGAGACATGAATGTAGATGAATTGGCTCATGGACGGCAAGAATGGGATCATGTGCAAGGACAAGCAATTCAAGTTTCAGGTATCACGATACTACTACGTAATCTTATACGACGCTTTGGAGAACTTGACGAGGAACAGAGTATTCGGCTTCTCTCACAGTTGTTGGGTTTCACGCGAGTTCAAGGCGAGACGGTAGATCAAGCACTCTCGAGTTCGACATCACAGTATACAGGGCGACGGATCTTCTTACATAATTTCGCATTGGGACCCCAAGGGTTGGCATGGATTCTTCTTAGAGCACTCAAGGTGGCGCCAATTATGTGGCCTCAGCTTCTTATTCCACTGAATGGCCAGCTTCCGACGACCGACGAACCGTTGAACATCCTCAAGAGGCACATTCGGCAGCAGGCGCACATCTTGGAACATCATCCACATGGTACGCTACAACATTCAGCACACCCTGGACAGCAAGCACATCTGACGTACTTTGGACATGCGGAGCCGCCACAGGCTGAGACGGCCTGGGGCAACGGCGCAGCAGCAGCAGCAGCGCCGCAAGCAGCATACCAGATGAACGATTCACGTGACAACAACCCCCACGAGCCCTACGTGTACGAGGACTTCTTCGGCGACAGCGACACGGAGTCGGACGAAGACCCTCAGGACCCAGAGTGCACGGACGAGGCGGTAGAAGCTTATGCAGCGAGCCTTCTTCCTCCTGGAGTGCCAGCGAACAGGGCGAACATCGCGACGGTTCTGTACGAGACGTACTTCAACATTAAGAAGCGTTACAGGGCCTACACGAAGAAGCCGACCAAGTTTAGGAGGTTCAGTCGACGTTACTACGGTCGGCGCTCCGGGCAAGGAAAAGGAGTTTCGACGACAGTTTGGCAGGCCGAGCCACTTCCCCGTCGAGCAGCAGGACCCCACGTATTTCAAGGGTGGAAAGGGGAAGGGCGGCGGCCAGCACGGGCACGGCAAGAACAGAAAGGACCCAGTCACGGGCGAGGTGATGAAGCGTCACGAGTGCGGCAGCGACGAGCACCTGCGGAGGAACTGCCCCAAGTTACATCATCATACACAGCCCCCGCAGCATCATCGACAGCCCCCGCATCGACGAGTCAGGACCACTCACTGACGCCCGGACACATGTACATGATGCAGCAGCACTTCTTCAATGTGGGACAGTATCGGCAGTATCGCGAACCCCGCGAAGAACCAGCTACGTATACACCTATGGTGGAGTGGTCGCAGATTATTTCAGACGGCATGGGCATCACGACGGATCACGATGCGGATCACGGTACGCACCAGGAGCGGCAGCTGCAGGAGTTGACGAACATCAGTTACAGCCACCAGGAA